TCAGAAGATCCTTTGAAAAACAAAGTTTTTCCTCCAACTTGCTTCGTCACAAATGATGTTTGATGAAGTTCTTGAAGAGTTGAAGAACAGGATGAACTTTGCTCGTTGTTGGGGATGAAAGATTTGGAGTTTGAATCTTCCCAACGTAGGACTTTTCTTGTAGAGTGTTATGAAGGTTGAATCTCAAGAAGTATGTTCAGAGTAATGAATGGAGCAAAGGTTCTGCGAAGAGTTGTTTTCCTGTTCTTCGGTGAGTAGCTTATATACTGAGGTTGTCTGCCCGTTGGAGGAGGAGACAACTGCATTAAATGCGCGTACTGTTGACTTGACCGCCGTTTTGGAATGTTTCTATTTTTATAATATATCTTTCCGGATTCCTTGGTCAATCATTTGCAATCAATCCTTCAGCGTATCAGGCTCATTTAATGTGCATTAAATGCTTTCCTTTCATGCACAGTCTTCTAGCCGTTGGATGTTTTTACCCGTTGGATTCATATCTGTTGGATGTTGCTTGAAATCTTCTAAGTGTTAGTCGGGCTCTGATCAGGCTCTTCTGATGTGTTGGATTCTGATGGCTTTCTGAGTTCTGATGGCTTTCTGATGAGTTGAGTTCTGATGGCTTTCTGATCTCTGACTGAACTCTAACTCTGACTCTGATAGGTCCGCTGATGAGTACCTCTGATCTGTAACTCTCATCGGTTATCAGATGTCCAATTTATCAGCAACTCTCATGGTGCAACTCTGATGGACTTCTGATAAGAGAACTCTGATGGAGCAGTTCTCATACAGCAAGTCTGGTCGAGCAATTCTGATGCACTTCTGATCTGATCCAAAGCAGAGCAACTCTGATCGTTGACTACACTAATACTTACAATTGAAAATTCTAATACATAAAATCTAATTTGGGGGTACTCTAACTTTCTAATCCTATAGCATCATCAAAATCTAATTACATTTATTCCTTACAATTATCATGTCCCATCATTTAAATTCTAACAAATAAAACTATAATACAGAGTACCAAACTAATAAATATTCAATAAACAAATTTTAACATGCTACAATCTCGCAAAAAGACAAGCTACGAATGATTCACATGTGCTCATAGCCGTGCGGTGCTTGAGGCAGATGAGGCACTTGCCTCAGGGTCCAAAAAATTGTTAAAATTTTAGGGCCCACAATTTTAGATATTTCTTTCGTATATATATATATGTATTAAATTTACATATTGGGCTTCCTTTTGCCTGTTAGAGCACCGGTTAGAAAGAACCTGGAGATATCAAATCACACACACTATGTGCTGATATCTGAGAAGGGAATCATATTCTACCCAGGAACTCTGCTTTTGAATTACAGGAGGATGCCTTTATATATAATAGGCATTGAAACATCATTTAATTGGAACATTAAAGATAGAACTCTCTGGGAACTCTTTTCGTGTATCTAGCAACTCTTTAGTTTCCCACATTTATTTGAATTAAAACTATTTCCCAACATTGCCTAACCTTTGTCCGTTGACTCCGCTATTGTACTTCAAAAAGGAAAACCCAAAAGTTCCCCAGTTACTTTTGTTCGACCAGTTTAGAAGCGGAATAGCCATCAACGTACAAATGGAAAAGGGTTTTAAGGCGATTTGCGATTCTTTTGTTCTAGCCTAGACTAATCGATCGACAAGAGTGCCTTAGCTAAGGTTAATTTGCGATTCCCTTGTTCCAATCTATAGACTTAATCAATCAACATCAAGGTTAATCTTTCATCTTCTTTTCTTAGCTTCTAAATTTCTAATATTTTTCTATTTAAAGCCATAAAAGGATTTATAGCCTACCAAATATCTGTTTAGAAGGACTTTATTGAACATCTAGAATGTCGAGTTAATTAATACTTTTGCAGCTAAAACTCTCCGGCGAGTTGTACTTTATTAGTCATTTGAATACTTTGACAACAATGTAATTTTTATTTAATTAGTCGTTTTTATGATGTTTAATCTTCAATTTCAAAGAAAATTATAGTAAAAAAAATAATGTATAGGGCCTTTTATTAAGTTCGACTCAGGCCCGAGTTTTGGTAAGATCGGCACTGCATGTGCTCGTACCTAGGGATGACAATCGAGTGGGTTTGGGACGGTGATTCACTCCCTTATATCTGCCCCATGTCTAAATAAAATTATCCCCCGTTACTCTCAGACCCGCCGCATCCCTGCCCCACCTCGTTGTCCTTCACAGGGGCCTGCAGGTAGGGGTGTGCATTAACCGGTCCAGACCGTATTTTAGACCTGAACCGGACCGGAATGGGCCGGTCCGGACCGGACCAGTATAAACAAGTCCGGGTTTCGGTCCTTAGAATTCTATGATTCCGGGTTTCCGGTCCGGTCCGGGTCAAACCCGGAAAAAATAGGTCCGGACCGGTTGGCCCGTTAAATTAATACTCCTTAAAATATATGCTTCGGTCCATTGATTAAACTTGGAAATTAGGTTCGCTGCTACACCGTCTACACTGCCAACGTACTTTGTGGCAAAGAGTATTTTAGTTTATATTCTATTATATTAGTCTTTTATATTCTATTTGGCAAATTTGCAGGTGATAAATGAATGCAATTAGTCTTTATTTAGACTGCAGGTTTGCCTTGTGCCATTGTGTAGGATCTACCGAGTACAAATCATGAATTCATGGATGTAGTTTATGAGTAGTTTTTATTTAGTCTATTATGTTCTCTCTCTTTTACCGTTAGTCTATTATATCCTATTTGGCAAATTTGCATATGAGATTACTTCTTAAGGTTTATAAATAAATGAAAGAAATAGTTATTTAAAAAACCGGGTCAATTATGGTTAAAACCGGACCGGACCGGAAAATTCAGGTCCGGGTTGGTCTCGACCGGTTAGTATCCGGTCGGGTCTTCGGTCCTTATAAAATTGAGATTCCGGTTCCGGTCCAAACCGGTTCCGGTCCGGTCCGGTCCGGTTTTGGACCGGTGCACACCCCTACCTGCAGGTGCTCCCCTATAGATTTCAATTATCTTATTTGCATATTTTTTAACCATTTTATAGATACATAAATATATATAACAGTAAAAGAGTTAAACTAGTTAATATTGTGTTTAGTAAAAGATAATACTGCCAATTTTTAATAATTCTTCAATATCAATAAATTCTATTGAATATAATAAAACTAAAAATATAAGTAGACATAATACCATCATGTATGTTGTTCCAAATTTCTTATTAATTATAATACAATTAGTTATATGTATTATGCATATATGTGTGCGTCAGTGCGTGTGTTCCATTTACTAGATTTCTCACTTTTAAAACTCATATATCTTTTATGATAAATATTCTTAGTCATTACTTATTATTATTCTGATATAATATGTATGTAGTATTAGTTCATTAATCACGACTAGTACACATAGATGTATGTATTTCTATATGTATATGCATGTCTTTGTTATATACTACATATAATTTAATTGAATATGTTTATACATTGTTAATATATGTATATAGAGATGTATGTATGTATATTTATAGCGGGGACAGGGCGGGTGTAGTAACTCTCATCCTCCGCCCATATTTTAGCGGGGTATAAATATCCCACCCATCCCCGCCCCCATCCCCGCCCCCACCCCCGCCCCATCCTTTCCCCACGGGTCCTCGCCCCCATTGTCATCCTTACTCGTACCGCACATAGCAACGAGTGTAATAGTTATGTAACTATTATCATTCTTACTCATTGACCAGTGAAAAAAATAATTGGTCATATCGAGATCGAGTGTGCAGGTCATCCTCCATATTTTGAATTTTCTGATGAAAATCAACCAAAATGTTGAATGCTGGAATTTGGTTTATTTTTGTACGATTCTGCATTACTAGATGAATTACTTTTGTTTCATCTAATTTGTAATTATTTCTTATTATTTTGTGTGATTATGTAGTTGGCCTCTTATGAGGTGTAGACTTATGAATATAATTTACTAACTCCACCCCACTCAACTTTGTCAAGTTGATATTGGGTGTGAAATTACAATACTAAAAACTGTATAGTTGAGATTTGCGCAAAGGAGAGAAAAATGAACAGAACCACAAATTCATTATTTTGAAAAGAAAGTGGCAAAAATTTTGGGACAAACGGAAAAAGGAAATTTGGCAAGGTTCAATGCGATGAAGGAAGCATAACATACTACATAGTTCTTATAATCCCGGGCAGAACTAGACCGCTCGGCCTCATTCTGAAGAGCTCATTAGAGTCGAAGGCGAGACCTAGTTCGCGCGGTCTCGTCCATGTAACTTAACATAGTTGCAAATGGGCTCTTTCATGATCTGACGGGTCCCAATCACTGGCCTCGGAATCGTTTGAGTGTTTCAATCTCGATAGCTGGGTATGTTGGGCTTCCGAGATTGGGTGGTCTCTCTGGGCCCTAAGGTATGTGATAACGTACTCTACGAACAAGTGTGACGCAAATACTGAAATACACACACCCCAAGGATTGTATGAACATGTACAGATTTCCTTGGGGTCAACTCTTTCCTTGTGAATTTTTCACTAATGACATCCAAAATCATGTCCCAAACATGTTATGCATGATGGACAGAACTTGGGATTTTATTTACTTGTTTGCTTAGCAAAGCACGATGCTGCTAGCACACATACTTGCAACACATTTTCACCATTTCCATTACCTAATGGCATTATACCAATTTTCTCTCTTTTGGACGCAGAAAAGAAGCACAAGAAGAAACCAGCACCCTAAGGATGACAAACGGAGGAGTTTATTAGCTACTTGAGAGTTGAGAGTAGAATTCACTATTTCCTGATGTTAATTTGAGCTTGTTAACTACTTGAAAGCGCAAGTCACTGTTTCCTGATGTTAAATATTAGCACATGAATTTCATGTCATATTTCAAATCGAAAAATACATCTGAAATTTAAATTAAATTTCCATCTTTTTTCTTCAAGAACTGAGCTGAAGCCTGAAACCAAGGCAGATAAACAGCAGAAATGGCGGCCAATGTCCACGGAAAACAATGTCCCAACAATGAATTCATTGATATCATTACAGAAAATAGTTACAGAAACATTGAGAAAACCAACAGAAGACAGAACTGGCATTACGTGCAAAAACTCTCAAGTTAAAAGAGACAGAAGAGACTTGTCTTTCATTTGGTCAGTTGAAACATGAAACACACATGACTAAACTACCACAACTTGCAAACTCAACCCTCTCATCTAATTAGTCCGAACCAATGGGTGCCAACTTAAATAGGCCACTGATATGAGTGTTGATATCTTCATGGCCATTGAATTAATAATTCAATAATAAAAGGTTCGGCTCCCATGATTGCCGCTCCTCTCATTAACAGGTTTGTTACCAACTGCTTAAGGTTGTATTTTCCCTAACAGTGTCATGCATAAAATCCTTGACTAGAGTATGAATCAAATTTCCAGATGTCACTTCTTAGGCTCATTATAGAACTGCAGTTTCTTCTTATGTGACTGATTGTAGTAGTAGTGATAGTAGTACCATCACCCTCATCCCTGCTATGTTGTGATCTTCAAAATTGCACTTCATCTGGTATTCAGATTGTAGAATTATCAATACCTGTATTTAAATGTTCATTATGAAGAGTGAGGCAGAATTATTAGGTAGACATGATGGCATTCTATGTTCTAACCCTTGGAATACTAGATGGAATAGAATGGTATTTTTGTATATAGGTATGGAAAACAGTTCATGAATGATGATCTAAATAAATAGTCTCAAGGAATTTTCTAAAATATATCAACACTATAAACTCAAGCAAAAACGTTCAGTGGCAAAACATTACACTGTGCGTCCTTCCTGTGGCAGACTTCAACAAAGATTAATGAGAGAAATTCCAAAACCCCTGTCATATCATTGACTACTTTTTGTATAGATCAGTTTATACTATAAATTCGTGCAAAAGATATAGTAGAGAAAATTCCAAAAACGTCATCATTATATCATATTTATGGTGTAGTATGAAATCAAGAAAATGATTCCTTATTTTCACACACATATTTTTTCATCTCATGCAAATTTGAAAATGTATCACCATTGTTCTAGATCCCATTCTTTTTTAATATGGAAAACGGGTAATGAGAGGAAATAAATTGGTATGAGCAGTAGGTATTAGTTATCTCCTGATTGGAAGGGGAGAGAAAATGGAAACTGAAAGAAAATGAAAAGATAATGAAGCTGAAGTATAATCTCCCCTCAACCTTATCATATACTTTTTACCTTCCCAAACATGAGAAGGAAATGAGAGAAAGAAGAGGCTCCACTTCTCAGCACACAATATACATTGAGCCTAACTCCTCACTCTTCTCAATACCTCCTACATCATACAATATACCACCTCCCCTTTCTCACTTATCTTCCCCCCTTCCCTCTCTTCTTTCCTTTCACATGAACCAAACATATTCTACAGGGTTTAATATCCTCCAAATAGTGCATTATAGGTGGCTGCAGGTGCACAGGAAGCTAGTAGTACCTGGACTACAGCTGACTGCGTGGCCGAGGCAGCTCAGTAGCGAGACTTCAAAAATGAGAGGGAAAGCAGTTTCCGGGAAAGCCATATTTGTACTGTGTGTGGCAACCTTCCTAGCTGGATCACTGTTCAGTAGCCGGACATGGAATCTGCATCCAGACATTACATCAGATGGCAGAGGTGTCAACCATGACTGTGACCACAAGCGCGTAAGCTTTGAAAAAGATAAAAATTAACTTTGCACTTTTTTGGGTGTGTTGGAACCCGGAAATACAAGGAAAGAAAATGGAAAAGAAGGAAAATTTGGCAAAATAAAGGATGGATACACTCAATAAATTTATTTTAGATATACGCCCCAACTTCTAACTCGTTTTATTTATTTATTTATTTATTTATTTAATTGTTTGTTTGTTTGTTTGCTTGCTTACTTATTTACTTATTTATTTATTTATTTATTTACGAACTTACTTAAATACTTATTTACTTATTTATTCATTTACTTAAATATTTATTATTCATTCATTTCTTTATTTATTTATATCAAGACCTAAATTTTGAAAATATATGACATTGTTATTTCAAGAGCTAAAAATGTCATATATTCAATGATTCAACTTTATTTATTTATTTATTTATTTATTTACTTACTTACTTACTTAATTACTCAACTTTTTTACTTAACAGTATTAACTATTAGTGCCAACTGCTAGATCATAAATTCACTATTGAAGGTAGACCTTGCTCCAAGGTAGACACTACAAATTCACTTTTTCAACTTTAATACTTATCTAACGGTTAAGATTAACTTATCATTATAAATTGAATAAAACTCAACATTTTTTGACGATCTACAGTTGAAACTAATAGTAAATACTAGTACTACTTAACATAAAAATGGATCATTGACTTCATGTTTGAAAAAGGAAATTGGCCTGACGGGATTTCTGTTGGCCGGCCTTATTGAGAACACTTCTTGTACACACATACACACGGACACAAATATGCACACGCATGCATATATATGCGTGTATATATATGAAACATCTTTTTAACAAAAAACATCTCTTTTTCCTTTAAACTTTCCTACGGGGCATGCAAAATATTTTTTGAAGTACTTTGTTTTCCGCTTCCCTGGCCTTCTCTGTGATGTAAACATACTTTTTGTGTCTTGTTTTAATTCCTACTGAGAAGCACCTAATAAAAAAATTGTTTAATCAGAAACTGGTGGAAACAAATACAAGAGATATCATGGGAGAAGTGAAGAAGACTCATGTAGCTATCCAGTAAGAGAGCACGTCTAGACATTGATGCTAGAGTTAAATGCTAGAGTTAAATGCTGGTTATATAATTTTTCACTTTTTTCTCCTCAAGTAGGTCACTTGAGAAAACAATATCAGCATTAGAGATGGAGCTAGCTGTCTCAAGAACGAGTAGAAGTGGAAGCAAGACAACAGCAGAAGGATCTGATAGCCTTAAAAAGGCATTTGTTGTCATAGGAATCAACACAGCATTTAGCAGCCGAAAAAGGCGTGACTCTCTCCGTGAAACATGGATGCCCAAAGGTCCGTCTTTCTCCTACTTCCATCCCAAACTAGTTGCCATTTAGCACACACACGCCCTGCCCATTTATGCATACATATTATGTTACCCAATAATATTATAGTTTTAGGTATTCAATGCATATTAGTTGTACTAACCTCCAAATCTGGCCATGTCAACTCTCCCTACATATAAATGGGTTTGTACCTTGAGAACGCATAAAATGCATTTATTATGAAAACTTAAACAAGTGAAGAAGGGTAAGTTTGTAGGGTGCCTTAATTGATACGTGTCCGATTTTCTGAAACACCAATTATCTGGGTCAGTTGGAGTACAAAACATTTGCCATAGATGATCTGGCATATGTCTAAGTAATGCTATATACACATACAGGAGATGAGCTAAAGAAAGTAGAAAAAGAGAAGGGGATAATCTTACGGTTCGTGATAGGACACAGTGCCACCCCAGGAGGAGTTCTTGATAGAGCAATTGATGATGAGGAAGCTGAATATAAAGACTTCCTAAGGCTTAATCATGTGGAAGGATATCACGAGCTCTCCACAAAGACGCGCATATATTTCTCCACTGCTTTCTCCATCTGGGATGCAGAGTTCTATGTGAAGGTCGATGATGATGTCCATCTCAATCTGGGAACACTAGCCACCACTCTAGCAAGGCACAGGTCAAAGCCTAGAGTCTACATCGGCTGCATGAAATCGGGACCAGTTCTTTCCCGGAAGTAAGTCAAGTATCACACACCCTTCTCCCCCCCCCCCCCTCTCTCTCTATCTATCCATCCATCCATCCATACATCCATCTATCTACATGTGTGTGTACCTTAAACATATCAGAAACCACTTTCATCAACCCAAAGTGGTGAGTGGTGACAGGTTGGGCTCTGGTTCTAAGAATGCATCCACTTTCCTCCCACCCACGGCATCCACCCGACCCGCTGTGTATGTTTGAAATGTACAGAGTATTGTTTATAATTAATAAGAGTGTGCATAGACTTGCATACAAGTAATACAACAATCAAGAGTTATTTAAATATTAGAAAGTAATACATGATATACTGGAAAAAATGGAAATCTTATGAATAATATGAAAAAGTATGGGGTATATAATACTCCATATAACTTTTATTCAAATAATAATTATGAGTACATTGTGTATTTCAAAAGTTTTAACATTTACATCCCAAACCTGGTGCATTGTCATCCCTATATTATTTACTCAAGTGACTCTAGATAAATGCAATCTTAATTGTAGAGGAGTGAAGTATCACGAACCTGAGTTTTGGAAATTCGGAGAAGAAGGGAATAAGTATTTCAGGCATGCCACTGGCCAGATATATGCCATCTCCAAGGACCTTGCTGCCTACATATCCATAAACTCGTAAGTCACTTAAAAGGAATAATAATTACTCCGTATTAATTAACATGAAAACCCCTCTATACCAGACCTTACCTTTTTAACCTGCATACTATAGGGGAATCTTGCATAGATATGCCAATGAGGATGTGTCTTTAGGGGCATGGCTCATTGGTTTGGAAGTGGAGCATGTGGACGAAAGATCAATGTGTTGTGGCACTTCCCCAGGTATTAAAAGAAAGCTCCACTACTATACTGATTTTTAGCCATTTAAAATTTCAAACTATAACAGAAAATAATTAATAAATAAATGAATAAATAGATGAAATGTCAGACTGTGAATGGAGAGCAAAGGCAGGGAATGTGTGTGTGGCATCATTTGACTGGTCATGCAGCGGGATTTGTAAATCAGTGGAAAGGATGAAACAGGTGCATCATTCATGCGGGGAAGGTGAAGGAGCTGTTTGGAGTATTAATATGTAATAATGAGTTTAAAATTTATAGCACTCATCGTCAAGTAATACTGAAAGAAATGAGGGGCAGATTCTGAGAGGAGGAGCTTATTATATTACAGTTTCAATAATGCTTACATTTCTGTACTTTTTCTTTTAGACAGAATTTTGATTTTGTCATTGGTTCAGAAAAGAAGGTTACCATCTAGCCTAGTCCAATAAATTTAAACATTGTTAGTGATGTCTTCACAGCTTAAGACAGAAGAAAGACTTGGTATTAAAAAAAAATTATGACTGCAAGATTGACTTAGTTCTTCAACAGAGCTTTCTTTGTGACATAAAACCAATTGTCTCCTTAGTCCTTACAAATGTTCTTTCTTGAATTGCTGCAACTTTATTCAAAGTATATTCTGACAATAGTAGGATAAGTAAAAAAAATGGTAAAATGTTCTTATATTCTCATGGGAATGCAGCACTCCTTCCATCCCATATAAAGAATCCGCATTCATACTTTTAGACGGCTATGCATATAACCCTACCGCCGGGTAATATCTCGCTTCCTAACCCCCATTACTGAATGGGTAATTATTAATCAAATCGTAACCATCCCAACAGGTAATGAGTATAACCACAGATAACCGTTTACTTATATGAGCCATGAACATTTTAATATAAAAATTATTGTTTTAAAAAGCGGAAAATGGCATTGCCAAGGCGATTCTAAACATGAGATGCCATTTAAAATTCTTGTGCATTCAAAGTTAGAAAGAAGATGACCGGAATCAATTTAAGCTTTATAATAACTAAACTGAAAAAGTTATTAAAAAAGAAAAAATCTGATAATACCCAAATGAGACTCTTAAAGTTTATTATAGGACCCAAAGAGGTGGGTTCTCAAAGGAGATCATTGCTTAATTTGCTTTCATGCATAAACGGGCTAGTACGGGCGGGAATGCATAAAACTGTAACCTCATGTACCTAGTCAATGCGGTATTTCCCGTTTCAACGGGTGCCGTTTGGTGTGGCCTATCCATTCTATCAGTCACAATCGACAATTGCCATCCCTACACTCCACCGACGGAGTATTATGGTATGGAAAATGCTAAAGGTACACATGGTGTACAAAAAGTGTACACCATATAAAAGGCCCAAAAACAATTCATTTCCTTCTTTCCCCTCTCTCTCCACTCTCTCTTCCCCCCTCCCCCTTCTCTCTTTCATCTTTACCCAACCCATTCGAATATCTCACAAAAAAATGAGAGATCGTCTTCTCTTCTTCATCTTCATCTTCCCTTCTTCATCCTCTTTTTCTCTACCTTTTTATATCAATTGTTTTTTCATTATTTGCACAAAATCAACTTATTCATCTTATTTCATCTATTTTTATTATTTTTCAATTTTTTTCAAATTAAATGTATATTGATCACACATACAACTACATCATTCATTTGGATATATATAGATAATTAAATTTTTTGTTCATCCAGACAATTGAAATTGATCACACCGACAATTAAAGTAGAACGCACAACTATTGTCTGTGAGGTAAATATTGTATGTGCACACAGACAAATAATTGTCTGTGCACATATATTGATTGATTTGCAAGCTGGTGTCAATGTCAGGCGGCTGTCAGTGTACTTTTTACAAAAAAGTAAATGTCTGTAGACACAGACAAAAGTTGCATGTGGACACAGACAACTCGTGTTTGTGCCCACAGACAATTCGTGTCTGTGCCCACAGAGAATTCCATATCAATTGTCTGTGACCGACATTTTGTGTACAAATTGTGTACAACTTGTGTACCCCTAGCATGGTTGATTATGGTATTCATATTAAGGACGTCATATTAATGTCCATAGATTTTATTTCAATGATTTATTAAGTACGGACGTACGGTGTTAAGACATGCCACGTGTCTTAACATACGGCATATCAGTAATCAGTATCCATAAAAAAAAGGGAAAATGGAAACTAATAATCCAACCTTTTAGCGGTCTTCTTTTAATAGTCCCACCTTTGCGTTATTCATGAATAATCCAACCTTTGCACCTCATCTTCATTCATTGGTCCCCGACCAGTTGATGACCTGCTATTCCGAGTTATTTTCTTATCTTTGCAAACTATTATACCATAAATTCCACATTTCACAAAGATAATATTTTGCAAAGATAAGAAAATAACTTGGAATAGCAGGTCATCAACCGATCAGGGACCAGTGAATGAAGATGAGGTGCAAAGGTTGGATTATTCATGAATAACGAAAAGGTGGGACTATTAAAAGAAGACCGCTAAAAGGTTGGATTATTAGTTTCCATTTTCCCTAAAAAAAATTCCTTAATTTATTTGTCATTATCAGTATTCATTATTCATAAATTATAAGCATGTAAATGTAATAAAATCAGAATTATAGCAAACATCATAGAGTTCCCAACGGTCTTAAACTAGAAAAAACAAATTCCGCAGCAGAAGTATGAAAAGGGTCACTCTCTCTAGTCTTTCTTTTTCCTCATTTTTTTATGAGAACAACAGGAAGCAAATAGAGGTAGAGAAAATATCTTTGAAGAAGCGATAGATCAAAGAAAGCAAGATGTCACCTGAGGAGGAAACCATCAAACTTTGGTTGTTCTTCACAGCCAATATTTTCCAGGGTCCAGTGGAATTAAAAATTGGATCACGAGAAGGCGAAGCCACTTATATTTAGGGGTAGGTATAGTCCCATTTTCAAATGGGATATATTATTTCAATACCAAACAATGCTACTTTTTTCAAATGTTAAAGGAGAAATTAAATTTTAATCATACTCCAAAATTCCACACAATTTATCAATTTTCATATCACATAAATAATATATTTTAAATAAGCTATAGTAGTACAATTTAAATAATTAAATCATATTACGATCCGGTTCCAGGCTTCCACTGAACTAGCAAAAGTTTTTTTTTATCATCAAAACATGTCTCTATTCATATCAAAAGATTCATCAGGATCATTACATCAAGCAAAGGGAAAATAAAACAGACACCAACTGAAACTCCAACAACTACGACTGTAACCCTATGGTGAGACTTTGAGACGGTCACCCCTGAGAGAGCAACACGAATCGCTAACCATGTAGTGGGCTTGACACAGCCAAAACTATTCCCATAGATCCAACCATACCCAATGACATAAAGAGAGGCAAAAAACTCAAACAAACTGTCAAACCCAACAACAAAAATGGACGCAAGAAAACAAATAACAAACAGATAAAAACTACAAGAAAAACGTTCACAAACTCTAGCACCTCGTGCATCCCATGGTGGTGGTTCAGGAGGAGGTCGTACCACTGGTACCATGCTAATTGATCCTCCATGACCTTTGGCTGCCAAAGACCATGCATCAATCCTCCGTCCCTGCATAACCAAACTCATCCCTGCCCCGTGCGACTAGAGTAAGCGGACAGGCGGCGCCGATCTTCTCCAACGACGACAGCAACGCCGCATTCTCGAACCTTGACCACAACGCCGATCTCCTCGAGCCATGACAACAAATCTGTCCTCCTCCATCGATCTCCGCCCTCCGCGTCTGACCTGGACTCCAGTCGAGCACCAGCGACCAAGGGATAACAAAGCCGATCTTCGATAAAGTCGAAATCGGAAAAAGGCTCCAGCGGCCGACATAGTCAAAGCCCTAGAGAGAAAAACTCGTGATCGCTCTACCTTAGCCAAAAGTTTTATGATCTTTCATATGACAACAAAATGCATATATAAAAAAACTATTGTAAAAATTGAGATATAAATCAATGATATATCAAATTTATAGTGGAATTCGAGTTTACATGTGCATTATGCGAAGTGCACATTTACACAGTAGCCGTGACACTTATTAGGAATTCAATTTTCGCTATATATTTAAATGTATTTTTTTATTTAGTAAGGTACAAACTGCTAACATGTCACAATGTTATTGATTAACAAAAAATCTATTACCATTATCATGAAAATATTTAATTAGTTCCAAACAAAAAGGAGATGAACAACTATAATGGAAACCGGATAAAAACAAAAGTAGGAGAAAAAACGTTAAATAACTAACACTTGACATTATGTACTCCACACATTAAAACATTTAAGTAGTTCGTACAGAGATGGAACAATTAATGGAAATGTCTAGAGAAAAAATATGAGAAAAAACTTAAAAAAAATGTATCCTTAGAAGCTATTTTGTTACTCTTATTCTTATTCTTATTCTTATTGTTTACTCCGTATTACTTATTCTTATTTACTCGGACAAGATCGAATAAAAAGTCAAATCAGATTGGCCCAAAACATTCAATCCAGATCAAATTAAATAAGGATAATTCATATTAGACCAGACTAGAAGCACTTAGATCAAATCAGAAAGATTAAAACATAATTTGTTACTTTTACAACTATGATGATTCAGACATAATCATATTTTTGTAGGTCATTATTGTGCGTTGCTTCCATTGAAATTAAATTATGAATACAATTATAAATATAGTATTATATATTATTACTACGGTTATTATCCATGAGAATATTCTTATTTGACTGTATTATTATTAATGTGCATTTATTGTTATCAGTATTTATAAATGACTATTATAATAACCGTGCATGTTGTTGGTATCTATAATTTATTTATAATTGTAAAACTGCATATTATAATGGTATTGATAACGCTTATTATGATGATAATCATAATTATAAAATAAGGATAACTATAACGATAATAAAATGATATTGCAATTAAAGTTATAATTATAAATGTAATTATAGTTATATTTATATTTATAATTATAATTATAATTATAATTATAATTATAATTATAATTATATTTATAATTATAATTATAATTATAATTATAATTATAATTATAATTATAATTATAATTATAATTATAATTATAATTATAATTATAATTATAATTATAATTATAATTATAATTATAATTATAATTATAATTATAATTATAATTATAATTATAATTATAATTATAATTATAATTATAATTATAATAACAATATTGACAATGCTTCATAATGATAACTTTATAATACTAATAAAAACTCAATCACATAGTAAGTAATCAGATCAGATCGGAATGATTTAGATCAAATCAAAATCAGAAAAACTCTGATCTGATAATAAAGGTTCGATCACATCAGAAAGCTTCATACTTCGAGATCATACAAGATTATCAGACCATACCAGAAAAAAATAGATTAGATCATATTAGATCTAAAAAATTTCATATCATAAATATTCGTACCAGGTGAATAGAATAACGTCTTAATATCAACCATATTAATAGAGTATAATTCTCGGAATAAATACCATATCAATTCAGTATCCAAAATAATTGTACAAAAATTTTTTTTGTATCATTTTCATAGTATCATTATTACAATGTATAAATATATAATCAGACAAAAGTTAACACAATTGACTTAAAAATATTGTTTGGCTAAATTTAAAGCGACGGAGGCAGTAAAAAATCGATTTTAGCCAAAATGTTGATCACATTCTATGAATAGTTCACAATGTTTATAAGTATTTGTCACCTATTCCATATCAAATTAATACTATTGGGGCATGCCCCGGGTGTTACACTAGTTGATATTATATTCTTATAGGGTGTTTCAGAATAATCCTTACCTCGCTTACGTGTAGGCCTGGACTCGAGCCGGGTGGCCCGACCCGGAATCGGCTCGAATCGGCACTGTTCCGACCCGGCCCGGTGGCCCGGTCAGTGACCAGTCCGGGTAGGCCCGACCCGCGTGGGTTTCGATCCGGGCTCAGGGCCCCAAAATCATGAACCGGCCCGGTCGGTTCGGGCCCGGTTCCGGGCCTTTTTATTTTTTATTTTTTTCAATTTTTATACTTTTCGGGTTGGGCTGAGTATTTTGGGCCATTTGGGGTGGTTTGGGGTGGGGGGGGGGGGGTTGGGGGTTAACTAGGGAAAGGAAAAAAAAAATTAACAAAGGCCCGAGGCCCGGCCCGGCCCAGGCCCGAACCGGCCCGAGTCCAGCCTTGCTTACGGGCAAAGAGATGTCTCACCTATCTTTTTAACCATCCGTTATGAGGAAAAACTATGCATAATGTGTGTGTGCAATTTCCAACTACTTAAATGTACTAACCATTAACATGTCATTATGTTAACTTTATAAAAATAATATTGAGTATTTTCCCTCGCGCATCACATGTCATACAACTAGTGATTATAATAAATGCAAAATATAGAGATGTAAAAAAGTTTACACTGTTTAGCTTGATTATTTAATGTTAATGGTAAGAAACTTTTTAAAAATATTTCGCACTATTATTTAACGTGTAAACTATCGAACGAGCCCTATTAACACAATAACATGTAACGTACAAACATTTTAATTATTTTTGCAAAATTTGATTAGATTAAAAGTTTATAAAAATAATAAAAAAATAAGTAAAACTTTATTCATTTGAAATACTCCCTATTATTTGGAAAAGATCTTGTCCAACCATTCGAACAGGATCCTCCGTCTGACCGCCGCCGTTTGGGACGGTTTCCGGCGATATACAGACAACTTTGTCTGCGTAGACAAACAAATGTAAAAACTACACTTCACGAACTGGGTCCATTGAAAGGATAATAAGATTTTGGAATATAAAAGAAATTGTTCCACAGAGCACATGAGGGCCACATTTAACGTATTTAGTGAACACACGGCCTGAACCGGGCTGGACAATATCGCGGTGTATAAATGGGCCAAACAAACCCTTAACAAGCTATCCTTAATCACGGGTGCTAAACAAGCCGTCAAACCACAACCGGAATTGACTCTGATACCATGTTAAGACTCGGGGTTCCATCCTAAACAGTCAACCTGATAGGAGTAACTAGGGCTGGACTCGGGCCGGTTCGGGCCTGGGCCCGGCCGGGCCTCGGGCCAGGAAAGGGGAGGCCCGAGCCTGAACCGCCGGTGGCCGGTTCCGGTTCCGGTTCCGGGCCAAACCGGGCCGGGCCGAACCGGCCCAATAATTTTTTTTTTTGTTCTCCTATTTAATCCCCTACCCCTCCCCCTCAACCCCAAACCATCCCAAACCACCTCAAATGGCCCAAAATACCTAATCCAACCTAAAACTTAAATAAATTTCAAAAAAAAAAAAAAAAAAATCCGGCCCGGACCGGGCCTGAACCGGCCGGGCCGGTTCACCAAAACCTGGGCCCGAGCCCGGACCGCCCAGCACCCGGGCCGGGCCAAACCAAACCAGTGGACCCACCGGGCCACGGGCCGGGCCGGGCCAAACAGTGACTGGGCCGATTCGGTCCCGGGTCGGGCCGCCCGGCCCGAGTCCAGCCCTAGGAGTAACTCAAAGCCTTATATAGTATTTAATTGTTTTATAACTTTTCGGTGTGGGACAAATGCTTTAACAAGTATTTTCCGTTGAAAATGTTTCCCCTAAAACAAGTTTGTATGCATCATAAAATATTTAATCCACAAAAGATAGAAAATGCCCTGGTATCTCGAAAATACTTCACTCTTTCCAAAAGCTATTTTGGGGGAAAAGAGGAGCGCTGTAGAAAAAGAATGAACTCAGAACTCGTTGCAACTTGGTAGGTGAACAATCACCAACACAATAACTAGTCAGAGTATAGAGAAAGATGAAATATGGATGTTTAGAGTCACAAGTTCCAACAGCCGATCATGCGTAATGTGGGTGTACAAATGGAGGGGGAGGGAGCGCTGGAAAGAACAAGAAATTACAGGGTAGGAGTTCTTTCAGCTGATCCAGCAATAACAGTGAGCAGATTATTGCCAAAAGGGTCACCTAAGTGGGTCACAAGGTTCTCCACAGGTCCCTGCCCGGTCACGTAGGCTTGGATGAAGAATCCCAACATGGAGAACATGGCTAACCTCCCGTTCTTGATCTCCTTCACTTTCAAGATGGCTGCCTGGTCTGGATCCTTTGCAAGCCCTAAGGGATCAAAAGGACCCCCCGGGTACAGCTTGTCTTCTAGCTCCTGTTAACCATTAAGTGACCCACCAGTCATCAGCAAAAGAAGCAAGGCATTGGGATCTCTAGCTCCTCATCTGTGAGCATATTCATTAGTCTACCTGCCTATTAAGTAAGAGAGGATCTCCAGACTGTTGATAGCTACTGTGGTGGTTGGTTAGTCTCAAACTAAGCAAAAAATTATCATATCAAATTATCAATGGTCTTGCTCCTATTATTATTTTGATCAGATCATCATGAAAGGATTGATCCTGACTCTACAAAAACCACTGTAGTTTTGCACTCCCTAGGTAAGCAGAATCCACTCACAAAATAAACAAACACTACACTGCGCATAAAATAACTTATTACCATGGTAAACAGCATTTTCCAGAACAAGTCATCTTAACACAACCAAACGGAGCATAAGAGCATTAGTACAAAAGACAGTAGTGATCGATGAAATGTGGGATGGGATGAATTTACCAGGCCATTGGTGATTCGGAAATATTCAGCACCACCAACAAGTATGACCTCAGCAATGACAGCAGCAATCAGGTTGATGGGGATGTTTTTACCGAAGTAATTCAATGTGTTCCCATCTAGCAGCAGAGCTCCTGTCTGACACAAATGAACAACACACACACACATAAAGACTTGGTGATAGCATATGTCATATTGCAGAAAAAACAACAAACCAACGTTATATGCCTCAGCTACATGGAATAACAAATGATATGCTTCCTAGAGTATTGATATCAATTATGTTTGGGATACATTGTGACCATTAGATATTGTCCATAAAAAAAGTAAAAGGCATTCTTGCCAGGAGGGAGAGGAGTCTTAGAGTAAGAAATAAACCTTAAACCAAACAGCTTCAGGACCACAGTTAGCTCCAAACTTGTTTAAGGCTTCTGGGATGATGAAACCCGCAGCACCAAGCATTGCCCACCGGGCATGGATAACCTCAAACGCTTGATATCTGCACCTCTCCAACCATTAAATGGATATTTTTATAGAAAAATTACACTGATAAAAAAAACTGGACACAACTTCGATGGCCGAGGCTAATAGTAATGATGTCCTCTCTAATTCAAAAAAAAAAAATTAAGCTGTGTACATATGACTAGCTTATGTAGCCATATGACTCCAAAAGGGAGTTATATGTCAAAAATGTTTAAGGGGCTATATAATGACTCTCCTATGGAAGTATGGAGTCATATACATGCTTATTTGGCATCACCCTCACCATTCACTTTGATAGTGGGTGACCCACTATGGAAGTGTGTGTTAATGGTGATCCCAGTTAAGTTTATATGAGTGCATAGTAGAGACAGCTCCATAAAATATGTGGCTTCTTAAAATAAGCTCTCCCTAAATCTGCTCCCCATGGAAGCGAAGCTTACTTGGCAAAGTTTTCTGGTTTCTTGCCAAGGCCAAAAGGGTCATAACCATAACTGCAGAAAAAAAAAATGTTAGAGCACAAGAATTGAAGAAAGTCGTGATGATTGTAAGATGGAGAATAAGATGAAAGACTTTACTCTCCAGGAGCTTCACCACTCAAATGCTCCGGGATTTCTGATTTGTCCAAAAGGCCCTCCGGCAGAAAGATTCTTCTATCAGGCCCTGGTACCAGACACACATTCGCCCATTAATTGAAGCATCAATACTGAGACCCTCTCCATCCTACTCACATCCATTCCATGATCGTTCTACAGGGTTCGATTTGTTTGTTGTCTACTACCCAAAACGGTAAATCCAATACTCCTTCCATCCTAGAAATTAGTTGTCATAAAATTTCTGTTGCATGATAGGTGTGCTATTCTACATTCAATATATAGTTGACATTGATCTTCCAAATTTACCCACATCCAATACCCACATTCATTCAATATTTTATCAAAATTGCTTAATTTAGAGCTCTACCCTGAATCGGCTTATTCTGCTTTGTTGTTATTCTAACTGTTAAACATTGCTCTTCTAATAGATGGGGGGTTGAGGATAACTCACCATACCACTTGGAAAGCTCTTCGTTTACAGGGGAAGGTTTGAGCTTCTTGGGTGGAGCCGTCTGCTTCTTCTTCGAGAATGAGAAGAAGGCAACAGTCCTGAAGGGGGGTGCGCCGCCGGATTTGAGAGGCTTGCTGAGAGAGGCGGCGGCCGTCGACGCTGCGATGGAAGCCATAGTTTGCAGCGCTGCAGGAAATGGAAGATGTTGTTCTCTCTTGGTCAGAAGAGTTGCTAGCTAGACAGTCTCCCACCACACAATCTTTCAATCCATGATGATTTGCTACCATGGCTTTTTTCTTGGGTATAGGTGGATGCTGACGTGGAGGATGGTTGTGCTATCGTGGCTTGGGAATCTTGCCAAAGGAATGGAATGGATAACATAACCTATCCACATTTTAAAAGTACTCCTTTTTTTATCATACATTTTATAAAGTATTTTTAGAAAATATACTTTTTGAAAAGTGAAAGTCGATAGTATTTGATAAAAATGAAAAACATTATAAAACATATTTCCACTTGTTTCTAGATTTTACTCATTACGTCCCACTAATTGTACAAATTATTCTTAATCTTTTTTTATATATCAAATTTTTATTAAATTCGATTTTGATTTTTAGGATTTTCTGAAGCTTTTAAGTTGAGCAACTCATTAAAATGTGGTCACATTTAAACCGCATGTGGGGTAAAAATGGATAGTCCAAAATGGGTAAAACTTCCTCGGATCATTGACCCATATTGTTGCGCTGTTCTCTATCCCAATTTAATGGCCCACAACAATTTAAATTCCAAATTATGTGCCTGATTTTCTTGATGTTGTGAAGAGCAGCTGGATGTGTGGGCTTTTTGCTAAATTGAAAAAACTTAAGCATGATTTACGGGAGTGGAATAAGGTCGCGTTTGGCCGGGGATATCTTTGAAAACGTTGCTTTAGCTGAACGAGAGGCCGGGTTTGAGAGCTAAGCAACTCCTGGAAGAAGATCAGTCGGAGCAAAATATCTGGTGGCCACAGAAGGGTAATGTCAAATGGATCAAGGAGGGGAATGCATGCTCGTACGAACTTCTTTCATGCTAGCTACTGTTAAAGAGAAAAGGCCCGGACAGTTCATACATGTTGTGAAAGGTGGTGAATCTGGCAGTTGGCTTTACTCTCAGCAAGGGATTGGTGATGAGGCTATTCGCTTCTTTACACATCTTTTCAAGGAGGAAGAAGAAATGCAGGATCCGGATTTTTTGTTGCCTTCTATTCCTGGAATTGTGGATAATCATTAATTAAGATGCATCTTACGCTTCCTAAGAGATCTCCAATGCTATAATGTGCACGGTGCACATGTGACATGATTGATAGCCACATAAATATTAGCAAATAAATTATCTCTCTCCTTATTTGAATGATTTTATTCAATTTTGGTAAGTTTTTCTCTGCAATGTCAACAACAATGTCAACATCTAGACGGTCTCTTTGACATTGTGGAGAAAAACTTACCAATACTGTATAAAATCATTTAAATAAGGAGAGAAAGAATTTATTTACTAATATTTATGTGGTTATCTCTTATGCTACATGTACATCGTGCACATTGTACCATTGGAGATGCTCTAACAAGAGTACCTTTGGACGGGATGGATATTCTAGACATTTTTTCCGACATTGTTGGGAAATAGTTGCTAAAGATGTAGCTAGTGCAATTTTTTCTTGGGATCCCTATTCCTAATTAAGGTTGTCGCTACTGCACAAATTGTTCTCATCCCTAAGGTTGTTGATGCAACTGATTTTGGCCAATATAGCCCAATTTGCACATCAACTTTCACAAGTAAAGTTAACACTCAGATATTGGTTAACTCGTTAGCGACTTAGGCCATCTCCAACAAGCACATCTTCAACACCAAAATGATGGATTTGGAAAAAAAAAATGCTCCAACAATGACACCAAACTTTACACCATTACATCAAAATGGGGGAGGGGGGATGGCTTTACGCCATATATGGCGTACGCCATTTGTAGCACCATTCTCTTTTTGTAATTTTTTTCTTTCAAATGTGACCCAAAGTTTTGATTATTATAGTTTTGACCCATTTTTAAAACAACAAATTAGGATGTTTTACTTGGACTGAAATTTGTTGGTCAGGTCTGGTCTGAATTGATGTGGCTTGGTCTGATTTCTTTCTATTTTCATAACTACCCAAGTTTGGTCTAATCCGGTCTGATCTGATCAGAAACAAATTACAGTCCAAGTAAAAACATCCTTATACAACAACAAATTAAAATTATTAATTTGATAATAAAAAATATAATAACATTTAAATCACACAATATTATAAATAAAGTTTCAAATCCAAGATAAAATATTGTGAAATATTTGTGAAATATTGATTATTGTGTTTTAGCTTGTATTTGTGAAATATTGATTATTGTGTTTTAATTAGTGAAATGCGTGAAAATACATATTAAAATGATGTATTTTAGTTTGTATGTGTGAAATAATGTATAAATATAAGATAGTTAGATACTTAAATAGAATAATGGTAAAAAGTTAGTAAAAAGAAAAAAAGAGAATATTCCGTTTTGGTGATGAAAATGGTGTAAACTGTTGGAGATAAAATACTGTTTGATGTGATGTTTACACCAGACCATTTTAGTGTAAAAAATGGTGTTAACTGTTGGAGATGGCCTTAGTGCGCATCACTTCTTCCAAAGCTTATATCTTCGGAATAAGCCAGATTTGTTAAAGGGAAGGATACTAATAACCAAGTTTTGATTAGTGAAGAGATGATCCATGCAATTAATAAAAAAGTAGTGATTCTAATATTATGGCTAATAAAGCATTTGACCAGATGTCTTGGCCTTTCCTCAAGGAGGTTTTGTTGAAGTTCGGTTTCTCTCCAGGAGTTACTCAGCTCATACTTGGTAACTTAGAATTCACGTATCTTTCTGTTATGATCCACGGTAGAAGTTGTAGTTCTTTTTTTGCGTGCATCTAACAATATTGGTTAATGGTTACTATAATATCTCGTGAGGAGCCTACCCTCTAACGCACTTGGCATACGCCGATGATCTTCTAGTTTTCATAAATATATCAATACCATGGTTGATTTCCTTTAGAAAGATTTCAGAGTTCTATGAAGCTGCCTCCGGTCAAAAAGTGAATATGAAGACCAGTTTTGTTACCCCAAAACTATTCTAGTTGTCAGAGTCAAAGCAATGGAAAAGTCTCTAGCTGGGTATTAAAAAGTCCAATCTGCCTTTTTAATACATAGGGGTTCCCATCCATGAAGATATCACACGTCTTTCTCATTGTAAAGAGCTTCTTCATAAATTTGATATAAAGCTTTCAGCTTGGAGGAAAAAAACTCTATCACAAGTGGGGAGGAGGCTAACTCTTATCAGACATGTGCTACCCGCTTCTAGGGGTTGCATTTGTCTTTCCCAATCTTCTCTTCCACAAAAAAACATTTGTGTTTATAATTTTGAACTATGATATCAAAGTTTTGGCTAAACAACATATGAACACAAGACCAAAGTGAATCCCCCGCTTTTTATTATGACCACATCATTTTCGGAAAAAGCGACCCAAAAACTGCATAATACAACATCTTCATTGTAACTCCAATTAGCATACTTCTTTGTGAAGTCATGTTATCAATTAGTGTTTAAAATTGGTAAGGAATGATGTACAAAGAAGAGGGGAAATGACCATAGAAGTGTATAGAAATATCGGACACATTTAAAAAAATAGCTATGAAATGAAATTAATTATTTTAACCGTTATATCTAAACTCCAACCCTTGGATTTACCTAGAATATTTTTGGGCCCTAATTAATCCTGGCTGCCGGATTTATCGAAAAAGGTTTTTTTACCGGCGAACACAAGTCACATGCCCAGCACGCGCTAACCAGCACGCTCCAATAGGCTACCACGCAAAGCTGTGAGCTCTGGAACTCATCAAGTGCGTTGATGACAGAGGGGTCCCATTCCTACACCGTTGTTGTTCGAATTATTTGCTTCACTTAGCCAGGTGAATAAGGGCGTTGGCCATCACCCCTTGGAGTGCATGAACCCACTACAACACCTGTGTATAGAATTTGGGTTGCCGCACACTTTGTGGGGAAGCTCAAATATGGCTTTTTCATCCAACAATAGTTTTACTTCACATCAACTCAAAGTCCTCAACTGCCAAACCCTTGTTAGATTGGAAGCAGATTTTGCAACCTTTGGCACTAAGCGACCCATTTTTTCCCATTCTCGTTGAATGTCATTTCTATTTCAAGTAAATTCACATAAAGTATGTACAAAGTGAAACCAACTAGAATTTCATTTTTCTCAAGGCACATCAGTCCTTGGATATTTTACATTTACCGGCTCTTTTAACCTTTCATTTACTTGATCAACACTTGTAATTACAAGTTTTTCAAGCTAATTGTGTCTCCTCCATTTGTCCACCTCCCGAGATGTTTCCCTGACCAGCTTCTTGGTGCTCTTAGCAAGCTCATCAATTAGGGAATTAATCTCGTACCTGACATCCAGTAAGTATGCCAACTACTTAAACCAAGCATCAGAAAATATTTTCCATTCATCCCATAAGAAGAGTGTAATGTGATAGAATATTTCTTAGATTGACAAACAAACTTCTATTGAGTTCGAGGAATTAAAAGTAGCAAATAACAATCAAATACAGTAAATATGAGAGAGCAAGTTAGTCACTTAACTAAGTTTTACTTTATTGTGTTTCTAAATGACCACTTATTTGTGAAAAAGACATTTACTTAACAGACTAAAGGAGAAAGGGAATGAGTAGGGAAGTTCAAGAGCAAGGGGCGAATGCCAAAAACTATGAAGCATGGAAAATCTTGCGAACGAGCACATTTCCATTTTAGAAACTCTATGGAAACTCTTTAGAAACTCCACAAATACTGTTTTTTTTATATTAAAAGATGGTGTTTCCCGATTCACATTTCCCCCATGTGTCCTGCATTTCTGTGCAACATAGGCCAAATATATAGCTAGACATCAAAAGCTAAAACTTGTAGAGTATACAGTAGCTACTGAGTAAGCATTGTGCTTCAAAATGCATGCCACTTATCAACATAAGAAACAGACATGTTTGATACATGAAACTCAATGTATAAGACGAAGAATATACACACTAACCATAGATAGGATTGCATGTAACCCACTACAAACTAATTGGCATGGCCAGATTTGAGAAATGTTGAGACGTGAGTGATATGCCAATTATTAATTAGAACTAATCGAACAGCATAATGCATGAAAGGAAGTGAGCCAAAATTTCCAGCAGGGAAACTTACTGACTGGGAAATTTGCCATTGCGATGGAAAGACCAGCCAACATTGGAGTGTTTGCGCTCGTCATCATACCCAATGCCCCGCCCGATAGCGTACCCGAACCCTAATCCAACACCACACCCGGCACCCAGTCCAAACCCGATCCGCAACCCAGAAATCCCAGGACCGAGCCCCATTCCTTTAACAGCCAACCACACAAGTAAAGGAAATACTGTCGCTTAAAGTTACCGATAATATAAATAAATCTGTATTCAAGATGGCCGGAGTGAAGAAATTTCAAACCTCCAATGAGGCCGACGCCGAACCCGAAACCACACCCGATGCCGAGTCCGAAACCGGGACCGAGCTTTCCTAACTCCTTGGACTTAACCACAGGTAGCTTCCACAGAAATCCCTTCGCTTCGTCTTGTCCGCCGTTCATCCTCTCTGGCTTCGCGATCTCTCAATCTCCAAACGAAATTCCAGCAAGACGGAGTATTTGAATTCAATACAGTGTGTTCCTATCTAAATTCGAGCTCGAGTGGAACTTCACAAAATGATCTCTATTAATAAGTTCACAAATGTTGAAAAAACTAAAGATAAATAAAAACATAATTTATTGAAATCATATACAGAGTACTACGTATATTATGAATATGGATAATTTTAGTTTTTGTGCGACATATACTAATATTAATTAAACAAATATGCTAACAAAAACATATTGACATGTCAGTAAATTAGAAAACATAACCTACTTAATATTTAATTTTTAAATATAAAAAACTTACATTGTTTAATTCTGAACTTCAAATCGTTTAAAAATCCCAAATTAAGCTCAACTTAATTTCCTAAACATAGAAATCAATTCATGGCATCTGAAATCAATCTTGGAATAACTTATAATTTATCTCCCAATTATCTCTAATTAAGACAAAGATAAGACTTTCATTGTGCAAAACAAATTCAAATTGGACCCATAAACTTTCTAGCTTTACAATTTCAAAAGTCAAATCTTTTGTTCGGCCATTTCGTTCCAATTTGTCGATACATTGTTGGTTATTTCGGGTTTTCAAGTGCAGCAGCTAATAGAATTTAAACAAAGGCAGGTCTTTTGTCATTTAAAACATATGTATAATAATAGAAAACTATTTTAAATTTTGGGAGCCTAAATTGTTAACATAAATTTAATGATTTGTGTTTGTGTTATATAAATAAAGTTAATAATGATTTGATGATGTTTCATCTCATGCAAATTCAAAGTCCGATCCAAGTAGGTAATGCAAAATGTTGCCAGATCTTTTACATATACCATCATTAGGAGCAGATTCAACTATTCAAAGTCTATGTTTGTCTATCGGGAGTTTGTTGAATCTTTAACCTTTTTAATAAAAGTAATTTTTTTTAATTATTCAGACTGATTACTCTCAACCTATTTCTAAACAAATATAGCATTTTAAGTACTTTTTATAACTTCAATTTAACAAATGTATTCATATAAGAGCATACATTTTTATGTACTTTATTATGAGAAAAGCTGTAAATCAGAACTTTATTTTACTATTACATTTTTCTGATTTTTGCTACATTGTTGTATTAAAAAGTTCATTACTTGGATACCGAGTGTTGTATACCCTATTTGTGATTGCTTGTCTGGAAATCTAAGTTGTGATCTGCAGATCTTCTTGCATTAAAACTTCAAAATATCTAACTTTATACATCTTCTCCAATATTGAAACACCGACATTTAAAATGTTGTTGATAGTTGCATCTATTTTTTTGTGTGGCAAATTGCTGATTTAGTATCCTTTGAGTTTGTGGATTTATTGGATCCTTCCAATAATTTTCTGTTAGAACTTTTTTCCAATGAACCTTTTTCAATTGATCTTCAAATGATTTTCTATTTGAACTTTTGAGTTTGTTGATACATTGGATCCTTCAAATGATTTTCTGTTTGAACTTTTGTCTAATGAACCTTATTCAACTCATCTTTTTCTTGTACTTCTTTTTCAATTCTCTAACAAGCCAAAACAAAAAATATACATATACATATAAAGCTAAAAGTAGGAGATGAGAAAACAAGTGTTAACATTAAAGATTAGTTGAGCATCTGTGTATGTGTAAACATAAATACTCGGTAGTGAGATAATAACTTACATACGAAGTTTAGATCGCTAATGATTTGTGAGAGCGGAGAACAATTCTCCACATCTAAGAGTATTTATAACCATAATGTTGAGTGCATTCTTGAAAGAAATATTGGGGGGGCTTGAAGATTTTTTTGAAATTATATTACGGAATAATAATGTACTTCGTATACTGTACACTCCATATCTAAATGTTGATTGCTTTTCTTTTCTTATTCATAGGAAAGGTTCAAAGAGCATTAATTGGTTGGTGTGATTATGGAGAAACACCCACTGTTTACTTTGTCACCTCCACATCCACCAATAGAAATTCTACATCACTGTGCTCACCTCCAATTCAACCAATACAAATAGCTTTCTTAAAGGCTTTCTAGCGTATAGAAGATTTCCAATTTTCAGCATAGTGTTGACCTCCACAACAACCAATAGAAATAGGTTAAAACTTTTTGGGAACACTATTGCCACGGGACTTAAAAGTTGTGAATAACGTCCGAACTTAAAACTTTTGATCAATTCCTTTTAGATTTATTTTTTTAGGAAATAAATGACTAACTTGATGTTGATGTTTTTGAGTGGGAATGGCTCCCCAAAAACATTTTGCTTTTAGATTATAATAGATATATGATAATAATAAACTATTTTAAATTTTGGGCCCCTAATTTTTAAACATTTTTGAGGCCCTGAGGCCTTTGCCTGAACAGCCTCTAAAAAAGCACAGCCATGTATCAATATTATATATGCATTTTAAAAAAAAAAAAATCTAGCTAAATATGCATGTTTAGAAAACGGCTTCTCTTGTTGATTTTTTATATACAATCTTGATACCATTAGAAAGATCTTAAAGAATTATAAAATCTAATACTTCATTTTTATATATAAAATTAGATACGGAGTATTAAATAAGAAAGTTATAACAATTTAAAGAAAATAATGAAATGAGATGCTACATGCCACTGGGTGATGCTCATCCTTAATATCCATCACAACATGTAGGAACTAAAATGGAAAACCAAAAAAAAAAAATTAAACATGACCCAACCCGGGCCCGGAACAAACTCGGACCGATACCGGGCCTACTGCCCAACATATTCGACCCGCCCAAGACCCGACCCGGACCCGGGCCCAACCCGGGCCCGGTCCACCCCTACCTAACCCTAGGCCCGTCCGCGCTTCTTAATTCTTCGTCTAGTAGGCATATTTTGGTTATATAGTTCATTAGTTGTATGTATATCCTGCACGCTCCTTTTTTGTACCGAATGAAGAAAAACTTTCTGTACAGGATTGCTGCTAATTTATTTCCGATGACAGATACTTTTACTCATTACCAAAGAATGGTTTACACAAGTTAAATCAAAACTAGAATTTAAATATAAGTCCTATAAATGAGCCTTCATTCGCTATACTTGGTTACTTTTTCTAGTGAATGACTAGATATTGTTTCGTGTTACAATTGGATCAATATGAAAAATTTACATTAGGTGTGAAATGAAATGAAAAATTTTATACAAAAAAATAATTCTACGGTATAATGATAAAGGTGAGATGTTTCTGATGTTGTATGCTCATTGCTCTTGATGAAACTTCTGAATTACCACCATCCTGCTGTCCGAATGGCATTCCCCTGCAAATCGTGTTCAACGCAAGGACTTAACAATTTTAAATAGGTTTTCCTCTCATATTTAATTCAATAATATGTGTTACTTGTGAAGACCTAGAATTCTTCAATCGGGGTAATGCTAGTCAACTTGTCAGAGATTCACAAAAATAATTACCACAATGTTTTTCCTTCATGGACAATATTGAGAACGGATGAGGGATTATTTAGTTGTTTAGTAGGTTAGTTAAAACCTACATTTTGATCTTTAGACCGTCTCTGAGAAAGGTAACGCTCGAAAGCACCAACTCCTAGGAGTAATTTACCACCACATCCAGGGGCACTTTCGGAACCAACAGACATTTCATCAACCACAACAGCATCTACTTTCTCATCATCTGCTTTAACTTCAGGAATCTACATCAAAAGGCAATATAAAATGCGAAAGCAGTACACCAATATATAGCTCTTTCATCAGTATAGCAAACATTGTTGAAGCAGGTATTAGTGTATATTACCTCATACATAGCATCAGTTAATATGCTCTCTAGTAAGGCTCTTAACCCTCTTGCACCAGTGTTTTTGTTAAATGCTTTCTTTGAAATTAACCTCAATGCCTCTTCTGTAAAATGCAGCCTCACCTAAATGTAGTATAATACAAACAGTACAAAATTACCCTATCGAAGACAGACCATAAAAGTCGAAGAAAAATTACTCAACTCGACAATACATCTTGAGTCAATTTTCTGAGTATTCATATCTTTGGCTTGCTCTGTTTTTCATTACTCCATTCCAAAAAGAGTTTTGTTTGGCCAAAAAGTATCTTTTTATTTTGCAAGGAACAACTATAAATCATCATTCGCACTTGCATTTTAAAAGCTTTTCTGATACAACATCTTCCAAGCCATAGTCCCAAAAGAGTTTTGAGGTTTAAAATCGTTTTTATACAACAACAACAACAACAACAACAACAACATTCAAGCCTGAATTCCCAAAAGATTTTGGAGTCAATCCAATATATCAGAGCCAAAAAGAAAAGAAAAAACAAAATAAAAAGATAAGGTAAGACAAAAAGGATAAGATAAAGATAAAGATAACATAAAATAACATAAGAAAGATAAAAGATAAAAATAACAAAAGAACATAAGAAAGATTAAAAGCTTTTTTTATCATCATCATCATCATCATTAAAAGCTTTTTTGATATTTTATTAATTTTATCATCATACATTCATACCCTGTTTTAAAATGTTTGCTAATCTCTTTCACAATTTACTTAAAAGTTATCGCCATTTGATCTTACATAACTCTTTTCTTGAGATAAAAGCTTCTGAAGCTCAACTTTTTCGTGGGTAAGATGGAAGGGAGCGTTTTTATTATTAGTTATTTTTGCTACTATAGTTATCGCTATTATTTCATTTGCCGGGGGCGGGGCGAACAAACAAACAAACAAACAGACTTGTGTTTACTCATTCCCCATTGGAAATTGGAAACAAGAAAAGGTTGAGGTGATAAGAAACTGCTTACTTTGTTCATGCTAAATAGTTTCTTGTACTGTCTACTTAGAGCATTTTTCGCTTCTGTTAAGACCTGAATGGAAGAGTTCAATCATATCATCAGAATCTGTAGCTTAAGAATTCCAATGACATTGACAAAGCTTCAAAAGTGTAACAGAAAGTCTTGGGAACATGATTATACGCCTCGCAAAAATTTACCATCGTATGTGGTTCTACTAATTACTCAACTACCATGACAGAACAAGTTACATTTGACATGTACTAGTGAAGTACATTGGTTGTCTATCCTACTTGGACAGGAATATATAAATAGCTAGATATGAGGGATCCAAACTACCTGAACAAGTTGGTTCTCTGTAAGTGCTGACA